AAGCTGTTGAAGACAAGGAACCACACGACTGCTGTAATTTCATCACCCTGCAGTCATGAGAGCTCAATGGGAGATCTCTATAGAGATGGAATTACCGTATAATAACAGACGGTGATACATCACACGGTGAATCATCGCAGAATGAGCCAAGAATAAATAAACGATCTTGAAAAGTAGCCCTTTTAGTTTCATGAACCGAAATTACCCGCAAGAATAGCTACATTCACGCTATACGGCGAGAAGAGGAAGTTCAACACGTGTGGCCTGTTAAGGGCTTTCTTCATTCTCGGAAACTACCAAGTTTATTAAATACCGAGAGTGAGAATGTCGAACGTTGCTGTAAGACTATATGAACAAGATGAACCTTGCTAAGTTTTTCGAGGGCAGATATAAGCCTTAGAATGACAAAGCTTTTGGTTGATCGACCCTTTATGGGATGTAGCACTTCCCTTCAGAATTGTGTAGGCATACTGAGTGTGACGTAGCTTATACAGGGGCGGTGAGCAAATGATGCACAAGTCAGTGGTTTTTGTCCTCCCAGACGAATCAATTTCTCCGTGCCCAACAGGAAGAAGGCTTGCCTGGCCCCCGCGGGAGTCGATCCAGCTTTTGAGCAACGGACTGAGCGCGTGGTGAACACCACCGTCGCCTAAGGCAGATATACGAGCAACTAAACGTGAAAGATTTTCGTATGCGAAGAAAACCCTCACGCATTCGTTTTTTTTTCTGGAAGTAACGGACGGATTAACGGATTTTCGCGTCATCCAAAGAGAAAATGCTACTTTCGATGATCGCTTATCTATCTGACTCTTTCCCTGCACACCGCGCAGTGCTCTATGCGATTTCCCATCGTCTAGTAACACTGTATCCCTGTGGGTGCTAAACGCAATGACCAGCAATGAGTTAGAAGCAGAAAAATCCCAACAAATAAAGTAGGTCTTAGCTCTTCTTTACAGCTTCTAGTAGACACTTACTATCCTACCAGACAAGTCCTGCCGCTATGTCCAACTAACTCACAAATGGTAAGAAAGGATAGCTCCATACCAGCCACGCAAGAAAAACGTAAGCGCACGCATTCTGTGAGAATGATACCCTACATCGTCTGAAGAACCAGAGAATTATAAAGTCAAAAGATTACTCCACGAACAGCGTAAAGCAAGACATAGGAAGTGAACGCTATAGGTGAGTAGAAATACGTACGAAGGGATCACTTCCGGGTCAGGACGACCCCCCCTCCACAGGCTTTTTCGACCCGAGACGACGACGCATATGCAGTATGATAGCCGGCCGGCGAACAAAAAAGGGATACGAGCGGTCGGGGATATAGCAATAAAAATGCAACGTATATCCTTGACAAGGCGTTAATACGCGGGATCCCCTTTTCCACAAGAAAAAAATCAATCAAATAAATTTTGTCTTACATACGACCCCCCCCCAGTGAAAAGTACGCCCCCCCATGGGTTTTGACAACAATGATGCTTACCCTGACCCACAGACTTCTCTGTAAGAAGTGCGACATGCAAGAAGAAAAATTTTGTCACTGAGATGAGTGTCGATAGCTGAACCGAAACAGGATATCTCACCTTCAATCCCCATCGCTTTCTGATGTCGTGGTATGGCTCTGCACACCAATGCATAAATGTAGCTACGTCTTTGGCTTGCTGCGACTGTGTAGCCGGCGTTCCATCCTGTAATATAAAAAATTTTTTGAAACGAAATGAATTAGAATTGTTAAACCACAATCGAAAATTCCGGTTAAAAAGCTTAGGTAATGATAGGACAAGTCACGCAGTAATAACAGACGCCTCAGCTACCCTTCGCCTTCGAAGTAGAGCGAGAAGTAGAAAGAAACTTCTATTTGAAAACAGTTCAGTTTAGCAATATATGGGATCTAAAGCGAAACCTCACTGTCTGTCGACGACATCAAAGCGTTGAACTTGGTGATTTGTGCGGCTCAAATATTAACGACAAGAGGATAAATAATACCAGAGTAAAGAAAAGCACTAAAAGGACTGAAACCGAGCCAATTATAAGACCCCGAACCATATTTGACTTGACCGTGCGGTACCGGACGGATGAATGGGCATGGGTCGATACGATTACCGGTTTATGTATGGCTGCAGCTCTTTGCTCTCCTTTGTCTCTCACACTTTAGAAAATAAGAACTACTAGGGAAACAACTCCGCCACCATCCACGGTAGTCACGCACAAAGTGAAAGCTGGCGTGCCGGCGCCAATGGCGGGGGAGGCTGGGCATGATCCGCCCACGAGCCAGCGCTTTTCTCATCTATTATTTTTGAGTTTCGAAAATAGTGTGTCCTGCATGCTTGCAGGCAGGAGTGACATACCCAAATAAGGCGCCTGAACACCGAATGAATGCGAGCGTGCCTTTAATAGACTTTCCTGACTACAAATCCCCTCTGGAAATCGACAGAGCGACTAATATATCTCAAAGAAGACTGCAGTTGAAACGCTGATCACAGTTTTTTTGCTATGGTGCCAGAACATTGCTAAACTTTCCCATTTACCTTGTACTCAATTCCTTCATCGTAGAGCTGCTGAGGCATAGAAATGACTCCACCTGGGAAGTATGGATTATATGCTTTTCCGTCATCAACCTGAAACAAAAAAAATGGAGACTGTGCGATAAACACAAGGAAGGGGCTCAAATATAAAAAAAACAATGACAATATTTATTGTGATGAGTAGCAGAATAAGCTTGAAGCTTACCTTGATACCTGCTGGAGCATCAAAGTATCCCGTTAGCAGAGCGAAGATGTAGTCATCACCTCCGTGTCTAGCCAGAGACATTAATGACAAATCCCGGCGGAGCAGCTCTAAAAATAGAATCCTAAAAATAGAAGCTGCATTCTAGTCAGGCAAACAAAGAAGGCACTAGGACAAGAGCGATGTGTTCTAACAGTAAACTCTGAAGCTAAGCAGAGACAGGCTCTGAGGCTCCAGCGTATAGAAAGTATTGTAAAACTGACCGTTATTCGCTGCAGCGGCAGCCTTCACGTTGGGATATGGGTTTGGCAGCGCATCCGTGAGAATGCCAGGTCGTTGAATAGGACGACCCTTATCATCAACGTCATCGATAAGTGCCTCGGCAGCTTCAGCCTTTGCCTCTTCCTGGAATTTTTCAGGTCAAAAGGAACAAAGCTTGCATCTCATAAACTTCCAAACGAAATTTCAACTCAATATTAGGAAAAGTGTAAGTGGCTGTTTGGACTTCTTTTGCCACAGAAGCACAGAGCAGACAGGTAAGGACAGTGAGTAACGAAAGGAGCGAAAGAATATAATGTGGACACGGAAATGTACACTTTTCCAACTGGATATGAGGTGAGCGAGAAACCTGGATAAGAGAGCTGAGGGCAAGTTTATACTTTGCGTCAGCGTTTTGAGCGAACGCCAGTTTCGAGCGATTAGGAAACTATGTATACGAGTCGATGCCCTCTTTTGAGTGCACACCAGTGCACAGCAGCGTATGCCACCCCACGGTAGCGATTTCAGCGGCAAACAAAACAAAGTTATCGAATCAGCTTACACCAGCGTACACCAGCTGAGCTCAAAAAGCTGCCATACGATCAAAACGACGAGGCAGAGTACGAGCGCACTCTTATAGGGGTCGAAGAACGCTATATGGAGAGAAGAACGCAGACAAAACCACGAAATTGGTAAATTTTGTAAAAAAAATACAGATTTCAAGCAATTGTGGTTCACAAACTAGGATGCGAAGAAGTGAGCTAAATCAGAAGTTAAAAGGCTTGCAGTTACGTGGCCTCCGTAGACGCCTACTTTTTTTCAAAGCGAAGGTTATTGGCACATAAATTAAACAAACGGAAAA